TCATCGAGAGGGTTATCCACAACCACCCGTCCCACTCGCTCCAGACTCACCAATAGGTGCATCATTCTGCTTCGTCTGAGACTACTGTCGGGAAGCTTCGTGCCGAGGCTCAGCGAGCCCGTCCCCACGAAGAGAACAGACGCAAGGATCACCATCAGCACACGCCCTGAGTGTTGCAGAGACAAGAACATCAAGACACTCCCTTGTGCTGAGTGAAGACCCTGGGACTACCAAGTGGACGGTTTGCTGGACCCAACCAACTCGCTATTATCATAACAAGGCCGATTTGAAGATACACTAGCAGCTCATTTCGCACACGATAAAGGAAGCCGATGAGTCGTCTCAGATATTCTCGGGGAGATCTGGGTTGCTCGGTGTGGTTGCCCATGCCGAATAAGACAATCAAAAAGTACTATCACTTTATTAGTCAACCGAGGATGGAGCATACTTTTCTCTCATAGAAGCAGCCTGATACAGCAATGCCGTGACAATGAACAGAGATGGACCCTTGAGAGAGAAGAAGACGGTCACAATACTATTCCTCAGTGGATAGCTAGGCTGTGGCCATCTATGGATCGACACGCGGCATCGATCTACCGTCCACATGATATCCTCTTTTGGAGGAGGCCTTCGGGGATCGGATAGTGCTGGAGTTGGGATATGGGACCGAGAGGCAATGACAATACTCATAAATTGACAACTGGAACCAAACGCGAAATAGACAACAAAAATGGAATCCTAGACATATCGGCACCGCTCCCATTGGAATTGCATTTCAACTGGTAACGATTCTATTGTTGGCAAGCGAGGATGAATATCCACGAAAGTGAATCCGGGTTCAATCACATGTTGGCATGCTTCAACAATTTCACTCACCTATAGTTACTATTCGAGCCCGGCAATATCCGCTATATACAGATTGGCCGAAAAACTGGCGAGACCTACTTTGATGGCGCAAATTTGAAAGAATTAACCAAGGGGAGTTGGCCTGCTCCTAACGGTACGATCTCAGCGGATCTAGATACGCGATCATTACTACAGTAGAACCGGTGGTCTCCAAAACAGTTTCTGGAATGGCTTCAACTCGCGATGCCATGCGTCATCCAAAGTACTTCAATTTCGATTCTTGGACAAGGAACTAGGAAGCGTTAGAACGGAACTAATCAAGTTTGCGATCATGATCGCGGGGCAAACACTCGTATGGTACGAGTCGTACCCCATCCCAACGTACTTCAGAGCACACGTACCTGCCACCCTCCTCAACGAAGGAACTTCTCTGCTCACCGGAGTTCACCGACTTACCATAGTCACAGCTGGAGAGTGATAACCATCCGTTCCTCAAGTTTCAGGATAGACTATCTGAATGAAATTCAGCATCAGCACCATCCGGAGAGCCCGGATATTGTGTGGATCTGCCTTCACAACTTACGGAGACCTTGAGCACCTCTTGTCAATGCTGCGTATTTGCTTCCAAGCGACGTGAACTGAATGAACACCAAACTGGAATGTCCAGAATCTGGACCTCTGGGTTCTCTCGGTTCATCTGGGCTCCAGATAAACTCTAACTAAGCGCGTCGTACGAACCTAACGAGGGGCATGCCATGAGCGCAGTGTCCACAACGGCGCATCCGGGCGTAACAGGTTTCGCCAACTCGGATTTCGCCAAGTAACTACCGCACAGATTTCATTTGCTGTACACCAAGAAAAGCGGTCAAATACAGAATATTACGCTGATTACAGCGGGTCGGCGATTTCGATACTAGACTAGAGAACGGCGTAGTTCTTGGTGAAAGAACGATTTGGTTGGCGGCGAGAAAATGGTAGGTATAACACCTACGCATGGAGGAATACAGCAAATCTTGCCGAATACCGATTTCCGCGATTTGGCATGATTCATGAGTACGGGTTTTGCCTCGTCGTGGGAAGACACAGATTATACCACCAGACCAGACAAGAAATTGTGCGACCAGCGGAGCGAAGTGGCGATTAAAGAAAATTAATGGAGTCCACAAATTGATGACTCATCACGGTTTCACTCTTTTCTTTCCTACGTCAATCATGCAACATTGCTAAGCCCGATTCAGTGTCTTAACAGTCTTGAGTTCATATCAGTGGATAACAAATATGGGTCCAAAATATGCGCCGCATATTATGCGGGGGATGATACCAAGATCTTTACTTGAGATTATTCGATTCGTGCTGAGATATACTTATGGCTTCCGCGAGGGTCTGGACTGTTGTCCATGCAATCCAAAGCATGGTGAGCAGAGTGTCCGAAACCCGAACCCAAACCAGACTCAATTGACTTCTCATACCGCCTCTCACGGACCTTACGAGAAGCATGACTCCTGACCTTAACAATCCTAGACACGGGTATAGGATGGTCAGTGTAATCCACCATAGTATTACAGCTCTTACCACTTCTAGTCAGTACCATAAATAACTTATTGAACTCAATCTCTGTCACTTGACAAATACTGTATACTATCCCTCAGCTATTGACCTAACGTGTGTGACACGCCCGCGTTCACGCAGGAATAATAGACAACACGCATGCAAAGACCATGATTCGCACAAAGCAATATAACAGCCGTAATACAGTAGAACCGTAAGTTACGGTCCGTAACGAAATGATATCATACTAACGGTATAGCATGATCACACGTTAGCAGGGCTCCGTACTCTGCGCTGAACCGCACAGTAGACGCTAGTGTGGCCGCGAGTGTTTCTTTTCGGAGCCGCTCGCTCGGCAGAGCCAAGACAGGGGCAACTTGCCCCGGGTAAGTATTCTGTCGCGTCGCGATCTCGCGAGTCGCCCGATAATACAAGACTCATCAGGCGAGTTGATTACTCTAGTCATCCCGATGCTCCACTCTTGACTCTAATCGCTGCTCTATTCATCCGTAGCTGTGCTTATGATGAAACCGCTCTATCG